CACTTCCGGCTTTTTTCTTTTTGCTTATGTGGTGCTGAGGAATCGAACCCAGGGCCTCATGCATACAAGGCAAGCGCTCTACCACTGAGCCACTTTCCCAGCCCCCTAGAGGTTATTTTTTTAAACTGTTATTTCAGTCATAAAACGAAATAAAGGTTTTTAAATTCCAAAGGCCATGAATGAATGTAGATATAACAATAGTACAAGTTTCTAGCTAGAAAGTAGATTGGTGGTAGATTACTAATTTAGCTAACCCAATATGACCCAATGTTGAACCAATAATGGGGAATGCTTAAAACTGACTAGATTTACCACACTCAGTCCTCCAAGTACTGATGTCTACAAGAGCAATGTGAGAGGTTTGAAGGGAGTTTGAAAACAATTAAAATTTTTTTCCCATCATGGGGCTTGAACTAAGGGCCTGGGTGCTGTCCTTCAGCTCTTTTTGCTCAATGCTAGTGCTCTACCACTTTGAGCCACTTTCAATTTTCTGGTGGTGAATTGGAGACTTTTCTGCCTTGGGTGGATTCAAACCACTATCAGATTTCAGCCTCCTGAGAGACTAGGATTATAGTCAGGAGCCACCAGCACCCAGCAGTGAGGATTCTTTTATTGGTTTACATAACTTTGAGTTATAACTTGTAGGCCAGAAGCATACCTAAGATATCAGAGCTTCCTTGGTTTATCAATATGAATATTTAAGGAAGACACATGTGATACCTGAACAACAAGAAAGAGCCAAAGACCACCTAGAAGAAGCAAAAACCGTAAGGGAAACACCCAATCAAAAAAACAACAGCAGTATTTATATAGGTAATTTTCAGTGTCAACTGGAATATAATTATGGAAGGATATATAAAGTATCAAAAAATCAAGTGAGAGCTGGGCTCCAGGGGCTCCTGCCTATAATCTTAACTTAATCCTAACTACTTAGGAGGCTGAAATCTGAGGATAGCAGTTCAGAGCCAGCCTGGGCAGAAAAAGTCCCCATGAGACTCTTATCTCCAATTAACCATCAGGAAACCAGAGCTGTGGCTCAAAGTGGTACAATGCTAGCCTTGAGTAAAAAGAGCTCAGAGACAGTGCCTCAGGCCCCGAGTTCAAGTCCTACAACTGATGGAGGAAAAAAAAATCAAGTGACAGAAGTAATAAGCATTAAACCCAGGGCCTTGTACCCATCCACTATATTCTGGCCTCCCCAGACCAAGGCTATTAAAAATTATTACTTTCATTTTGAATTATATCATGGCTAAACACATGGCTGAGTTTGTGTTCATACGCCTTCACACATTTTTGGATCTGTTACACCTTACAGCACCAAGAGATTGCTCTTTGAGTAAAAGATTATCTCCTACTACATGAATATAGCCAGCACCTTTTCATGACTGTGTCAGTAAATTTATGCAGAGTAGTGAGAATTGAACAGAAATAACTTCTAGTATGCTCTTTCCTCAGGTAAATTTGCTGGGAAATAAATGAAAATTCTGCCCTTACAAGGCAGCTTCTATCTGGTGTGGAAAAAGCAATTACCTGAGGGAGCTGGAATAGGTCAGGAGACCTTTAAACTACTTTACTGATATGGTAATCATATTTGCTTTATAAATTTCACCTGATTATGCGGAATTCAGATAAAATGATATAACATTAAGAGCTGAGGTTAAGGCCCTCCTCCCCTTTATCTACTGATAGTATCTATGCATTGAGTAGCTAGACATAATAGGAATATTTAATTTCTTTTGTAATTGGACTATTTCCCAATTGAATGAATGCTATAGGCAAATAGCCCTTTATGACTATTTTAGATACATTTATCATGCAATTAATCTCAGAGCTTCTTATGCTTTATTTTGTTCACTTTGACAGTGATAAGGAGCCAAGTAATGCTGGATTTAAATTCCTGCTCTGCCATTTAGTAGAGAACAAGGATGCCACTCTTCTACCTTCTTCTTTTGTAAAATGGGCTTCTCACAACTTACTTGGAACTTTGCGTTGAAATAAATCACTATGGAATCATGTGATGAATCAATGCATATATATAAATGTGGTAAATACACAATCAGAGGGAAAGGTAAACCATACCTGGTTGAAAGCAAGTTATAGAATGATATTTGCTATGCCTTCTCAATAATAAAGTCCTCTTTCTCTCCTGTTT